TAATCACGGTAAGAAAAAGGTGCTTCGACTGAGGTCTATAGGCCAATGTTCTATTACATTACAAAAAGCTCAGTTGTTTCATTATAAATCTATCACCATTCTATCTTGTGATATAATTAATGGAATCAGATCATTTTGACAAACATTTTTAAAATCTATCTGAGAACATTTTCCTCTCTTGCAAATTAAATATCCTTTCATGTCTCTATTCACATGTTTACATTATTAATTACTGTACGCCAATGCCGTTTTGAGAAAGGCACGTCCGCACACATGAATGAAATAATGGCCTGACCTACGAAAACAGAGATAAAAATGGGGCGAAAACGGAAGACATAAGCGGAAAGGAAGAGCCAGGGATAGTAGAGTAGGGTAGAAGAGCCTCTAGCCTCTCATAAATAGAGCTAAAGAGGCTGGGCGAGCCTCTCACTGCCTCTCTCCCAACAACGCTAATTATCAACCAAAGACATGCTAATTACATGGAGCTTTATTGCTAATGTAGCGGGCTGCTCTTCAAGACGCCCACACGCTGCGCCCGGCTCCCCTGCCTCTCCTTATCCTCCCACTGCACCCCACAGGCACTCCAGGCAAAGACAGGAAAGATTGCTCGGATTTGTGTGTTTTATATGAGTGTGTGTGTGTTTTTCGTTTATTTTAACAATGCCAAATCTATGTGCGTACAGCACACGTTTGAGACCGTCCAAAGCCTATATGTGTATCACACACGCAAAATCTCACACACTCTACAGCTTAAAGCTGAACTATGGCACTGACACCCCTATGCCGAGTTCCCCCTCCGGCCCACCCCAAGACCTCGTCCCCATCCTGCCATCACAACAGGAAGTCTGCTTTGTTCCTCTTTACCTCCTACCGCCCACATCCCCTGGCCGTGATGTAACCTAGCAGCAGAAAAACGGGGCCCTGCAGGAGCTCGACGCTTCAGCGTCGACAAATCCAGTTAGGGCGGCATTTTAGCCACCTTCAAAATCGATTTCTCAAACACGAAATCTGGCAAAGTGGAAAGAAACTCCACTAAAGCTGTTGCTTGGTGATGGGAGCAGATTGACTCACTATGCTCTTTTTTATTTCCCTTCCACTTCAGTGTTGGCGTGTGCTGATTCTTCAGTGTGCTTAATATTTCTGTCTTCACATGGCAAAGCAAACCGTGACACACAGGACCGCTAAAGCGATAGTTCAGCCAAAAATTTATATTTTGTCATCACTTACAAGATGTCCCAAACCTGTATGAGTTTCGTTCTTCTGTTGAACACAAAGAAGATATTTTGGAGAATGTTACTAATCAAACAGTTGACAGTCGCCATTGACTTCCATAGTGAGCAAGACCGTCAACTGTCTGGTTACCAACATTCTTTAAGATATCTTATTTTACGTTAAACAGAAGAACGAAACTCATACAGGTTTAAATAGAGAGCCTAAGTCACTCCCCTTCTGTTCACCATGGGACCTTATTTCGGAACAATATTGTATGGTAGTCAATGGCGAGAGACAACAAATATTTTGATCTGGTTTGAATTGTGCCATGAATTACACATATGATGTTATCATATGTGATTTAAAGTAAGGAAAGTCGCAGTTTGATGTAAAATCGTTGAGGTTTGTGAATACGTATTACAAAGACTACAAACCCCAAAGGCGTACATTTTCTCTCAATGAATGAAGCTAACTTTACTGAGGCTAATGTCTGTCATTGTTTCTACAGTCTTACGTTATAATCGTAACGTCATGCCTGAGTGTTTTGTACCAGACTGCACACATGAGCAGCGGATCTTGCTCGTTGTTTCGCTTCCCGGAAGATGTACGTAGTTCATTGAGCGATTTTCACATAAAACTAAATGTTACTCTTCTGTTTTATGACAAACTGCAACTGTTTTTTTTTTTTTTTTTGACAAACTGCTTTTGACTTTCAGAATTGTTTTTTAAATTGACAAACATCAAATGTGTAATTCAGGGCACAGTTCAGACGGAATAAAAAGATAAGTTGTCTCTCGCCATTGACTGCCACAAAATAAGGTCCCATGTGCCGGAAGCGGAGGGGTGGGACTTAGGCTCTCTATTATGACATGATTTTCATTTTTGGGTGAACTATCCCTTTGTGTAGCACTTTGCAGTTGTTTTACAAGGTTTCAAAAAGTTAAGCATATTTTTTAAATCTCAGAACTCAATAATAAAGAAATTTCAGGTCTAAAAGACTAAACTAAACTAAACAAGGTATTGTAAAAATTGTGATAATGACTCGTTATAGTCTTGAAAGCATGATGTTTGAATTGTAATGCATTGTAATATTTTTCCTTTAGAGTTTAGCGGTGCATTTTCCATATTTAATTTTAAATTATAATATGACATATACTAAGGCCGTGTGTCCACCAAAGCATTTTTAGCCAGCTGAAAACGCTAGACGCTCTGCTGAGGATGCCGTGCTTTGGGCACTTGAGAGTGTTTTGGCAGCGCCGCGTTATTTCCGTTGAGACGTTTCGTTGCTATGATACAGAATATCTGCAGCAGTTTGAATGTTGTGACAGTTGGTCGTGTGGTCGTGTGGCCCACTGTGATTGGGCGGCTGGGTAAAAAGTGACAGTGATGAGCGCTGCGTTTTATCCAAAGTTGAACATTTTTTCAACTCCCAGCGACCAGTAAAAACGCTGGGCGCTCGGCGCGTCAGCGTGAAAAAAAACCCCTTAGCGCCTCGGTACGCTCATGGCGTTTAAAAAAAGTGGCGCTCCCATTGAAAAAAATTGAAAACATACGCCAGGCGCGTGGAAAAAACGCTTTGGTGGACACACACCCTCTAAAACTAAATTTAACCATAATTCCTGTTTATGGTAAAGTACATTTAATGAAAAATTATTTAGATTTTATTTTTTTAAGTCCACTTAAAATTATGTCAGGTAAAGTACATCTTTATTCCTTTTTGCTGGGCCCCGAATCTGACTTTACATTCCATTTGAATCTCCCCTGATAATTCCAAAATTGCAATGTTGAATGGTACCCACCATTTCAGTGTAAATTGGACCTTGGATCTTTAAAACTTTCTTTCTTCAATTTCTAAACCACTTGCCATGGCGTGTGGACTATAATAAACACTAAAAAGTATGACTGTTCAATCACTAATGAGAGTTTCTGAGTATCCCAGTATGAAACGGAATGATGTATATTCTAGGTATACATACTTGAGTCTTTTCTCAAGTGCAATGCACAGCTGCTAATGCTTAGAGTGCATTTTTATAATTGTACTTTGATGCTCTAGGTATAAAAAGCACTTTCTTTTTTGCCCTTTAAATCTCCATCAAGGTCTGATTTTGTAGAGACAAAAACACAGGGCATGTTTCACACTTTATGACAGATGAACTTCCAAAAACCCATCTTTGCATTTGAGATGATAATTTTCCAGCACATAAAAACAAATTAAAAAAATATAGAAATTAGAAAAAGAGGTGTCACGCTGGCTTTATAAGATATATGCATATGGAAATAGTATTGCTGAATGTGTAAATAAACGGAGAAAAAAAAGATCAAGCTGCAGAATTATTGAGCCAGTGTACACACAGCTGAAATAAAGATTGAGCACAGAGAGAGGGGATAAAAAAGGAAGTAGACAGAAAAACATGTTTGTTTTTTTTCTGACTCTAAGTGCAAAGCAATTGGATTGCACTTAGATTGAGAACAACTTACTTCACAAACTCACCCATAGATCTAGTGATATTAAGAACAGTTTGGGGATGTGGACCTGTTCGTGTGTTGTTGCGCTAGACATGGCAAGAGGACACCTTTTTAAAGCCCTTTAGTGGACCACCTCGTCAACCCATCTGTGTCACCTTTTCTTGTCAAGATGTTGTGACATCTCAGAAAAGCAGATTACCTGACCAGCTCACGCTGCAGCATGGCCTGACCTCAGGTTAAGTTAAAGGCAGGAACCAACAAACGTGTCTCTAAGACCTAAGAGCCTTAAGCAGCATTAAGCTGATTGAGAAAATGTAGACATTAAAGCAGCAAGAATAAAAAAAAAAAAAAAAATAGTTCAATGAAATAAAGTGTCCAATGACACTGGATGTATTTAGTGCACTTATCGTATAGTCGATTTTCTAGTCAATTAGACTGAAAAAAAAACATGTTGTTGGGTTTGTGTCTATAGTGTCTCACCGTGACAAGGCTTGAGCTGAAAATAAGGGTGCAGTGGCACTATGCGTAAGGAATCTAGTCATATAGCCATGTGTTGATACATTTCGCTAACTGAAATATCACACACGAAACACTCACTTATGTATATCTTTCTGCATACCCACTCACTAACCTTTACAGACCCCCACCCAAAATTGCATACAGGTACAACCTAAGGGACCCCCAATATCAAACTCTGTTTTGTAAGTTTCATTTTAAACGTTTATCAGATCATGAGTTAATGTCCATTAAGGGGGTTGTTCCAACATGACTCCTTGTGTCTCTGTGTTCAAGGACTTTTTTTATTTTGATGTTCTTTTGGCTTGATGTTTCTGGTTTCAGATTCTGTGATTTAGTTCCAACATTAAATTGATAATAATTGACAGTCCAGACATTTATAATGTCACAAAAGATTTATATTTAAATAATAAATGCTTTCTAAGAACTTTCAATTAATAAAACAGTCTCATTGTTTCATCTTGATCATAATCAAATGTATTATATATGTTTCCACCCTAAATTTCTTTTGGGGTGGAAATATTTTTAATTTGAAGAAAATTCAGCTTTGCCATCACAGGAATAAATTACATTTTAATATATATTATTAACAATTATTATTCAATCGTAATGAAAATTCACAATATTACTGTTTTAATATTGAAAAAAGAGATTTCTTTTAATCACCATGACCCCAAACTTTTGAACGGCAGTGTTTTATTTTATTATTATTACTATTTGAAAAATAAATAAATCATTATATTAGCCATACTAATAACCTGCTGACAGTGTGGGAATGTCAGGTAAGTGTGTTTAGAGAAACTCACCTCCACAATGTCGGAGTTGGTCCTGCTCTCATGTGGTTCATTGTACTCAGTGTATTTGAGCAACACTTTGTCCATATCTGTGCTGGCGTACTGGAACAGCTTGTTGGTACTGTTGAAGATGATTAGGGCAATCTCACAGTCACACAACACGCTCAGCTCATAGGCTTTCTTCATCAGGCCAAACTTTCTCTTCGTAAATGTCACCTAGAGAGAGAGACAGAAGAGGGGAAACAAGGTTAAACAAGTCATAGGCTTCACTGACGGCGTATAAAAACAGAGATGGATGACTCTATGTGTGTTTACTCAGCGCGTTGAATATACTCTTAAATATTCTTGACTCCCGAGATGTCCTAAATACAGCGTTTCTTCGGAAAATCAATGCTAGTTTTCTTTCCTTCTGTCTACTTTCTTTTATTTTCCTTTGTGCTCTTCCAAATTATCAGGAAAAATAGACAGGAGCGTAATAGCTCCTTCCTCTCATAAATCAACTGAATATCTTTTAAAAATCCCATTCTTTAATCCTAAGTAAAATACTTATTTCACTTTTGCTAGTGTGTCTAGCAGAGCTTAATAATTGAAATATAACCTGTGTGCTCCGAAACCATGCAATAACCTTTCATTTAAGAGTAATACATTAACACTAACTGCCTGGCCCCTCTGATACAATAGTTCAGCTATATAATTAGGATTTTATTTCATAATTAAGGTTAACAATATTCACCTCAAGCAAATTGGGGGGAAAAAAAATGGATTGCCTGTATTGCACGGGAGGCAAATTCTGCTTGTGCATCTCTGTGCAAATGCACTTTCCAGCAGATGCGCAGACATACAAACACACGCACACACTCACGTACGAAGATCATCGCTGCCACGGAGTGTTTGAGAGGCTGTTAATGACTTCTCAGTGCATGTTCTCATCTAAATTAGCAGCATTAAAAATAAGAAGCATCTCTCTCTGACCTCATAGGTTTCATGACTCTTGAGTACTTAAATGCAGCGCTGGAGAAACCACACACGCACAGACCAGCTTGTGAGAACAACAACACAGAGGAGGAACCTTGAGGCCTAACCGCTAAACTCTTCATCTTATAAGTGTAACCAAAATGTCCCCATGCACCTGGCAAATCTATACATTATTTATTGCAGAAGGAAAATGCATAATTTGAGAAAATATATTGTGAGTGTGATAATCACCAAAGCAATTTGATAAGGAAGACAATTAGCATGCATTAATTAAGGTATTTCTTTGATGATGCTAATTTGTTTCTGACGTTGTCATGGTGAAACTATTTAGCTTAGCTGGTGTGGTAAATTAAAAAATAAAGAATGAGACCTAGTTATATGAGAGAGTAGATTAAGTTTTTTGTTTCAGTAAGGTTGTGCTTAAATTGAAAAAAAAAAAACTTGTGCAGCTTTATAAAAATGGAAAAGGAAACAGTATTCTGTAAAAGAAAAAGTGTTGTCAGGTAACCTACACATGCACTTCATGTACATCGAAAGTTTTATTCAAGCCAAATTTAGACTTAATATTACTGAATTAACCAAGGAAAAGTTAGTAATTACTTCTTAAAGGGATAGTTCCCACACACACAACAAAAAATACTCACCCTCATGTCATTCCAGTATGACTTTATTTCTTCTGCCGAGCACCAAAAAACGTATTATTAATTATATATTTTTTGTCCACAAAATAAAAGTTTGGGGTCTAGATTTAGATTTAGATTTATTGACCTTCGTTGTATGGACAAAAGAAATAAGCACAATTTGTTTGTGTCCAATAAAATAAAGATTACCATGCAGGTTTGGTGCAATATGATGGTGAAATGATGAAAGACTTTTAATTCTTACACTGTAAAAAATATTGTTGGTTTAAGTAAGTAATGGTTGAAGTAAGTAACGGTTAAACATGATCTAAGTTGACTTTATTTGTTGTGATAATAAATAATGAATATATATATATATATATATATATATATATATATATATATATATATATATATAATGAATATATCTTAAATCTCTTAAAGGAACAATGACCTACCTTTTTGTAATGTGTGTACTTGAACTGGAGTTCACCAATTTCATTTGATAGTGATTCATCTTTCTCATCTTTCAGAGATTATAGTAAAAAAAAATAAAAAAATAAAAAAAAAATAATAATAAAAAAGATAAGAGTAGTGCATCTCATCCTGCTGGTCATCTTCTATCATCATATTTCTAATAATTTATGAGCGAAGTAATGATGTATTGATTATGTATCATTTTGACGTTCATTTTGACAAGTCGAACAGCCACTTAAAGAACACAACTGATGTTTTGACAGCTCCCCTTTTGCAAGATAAAGCCAAAGCGAGAGTTTCGAGCTTCCACGTTGTGGCTTAGCAGTTCTGAGAGGTTTCTTCTTGAGGCTTCTGGAGATGTGGCAAGTGTGACAAGATGCAAAAAGAATAAGCCACAAATCCTCCAGTATGACAGCAGGTGGAGAAAAGAAAAGGCTGAACAATGTGTTTGATGAACAGACTTTGAATTTTGGATTATTTGAATAACAAATAGAGTCAGTAATTAATTCACACATCCAAAATTTGTTTGCACTGGGCACTTCTCTGAAAGAGGAAGTAGTATCACACATGCACAGATACGAAGATACAAGGACAATATAAATAATCACTGTGGTCAAGCTCATAACTGTGGCTAGTGACTTCAACACCCACAGTCACAAAACAACACATAGGCCTACTAAAGATACTTCACCATAGTCTTTTTTTTCTAACGCGACATCGTCACATATATTCCTCTTTATGTGAGTGGTGCACTCAAAATTTTATTTTTTAAAGGGATATACTCTAAAAACTAATATTCTTGATTTGTTATCACACCTATTTTTCTTCTGTCAAATCAACTTAAAGTTAATGAATGTGGTTCAGGAAAGCATATTTTGAGTTTCTATTTTTTAACCAATCTCCTTTGTTGTATTAACTTAAATTTTTAATTTCAAAGAACTCAAGATTTTAAGGCAACTAGGTAACTTACTTGTTTAAGTTAAACCAACAATATATAAGAGTTATAAGAGTTTTAGATAAGAGTTTTTTTCACCCATACAATGAAAGTCAATGGACATCGAAACTGTTTGGTTAACAACATTGTTCAAAATATCTTCCTGCATGTTACGCAGGAGAAAGAAAGTCATCCGGGTTTGGAACGACATGACGGTTTCCTTGTGAACTATCCTAGTAAGTTTCACTTTGAAATAATTAGTCCACTCAACATGAGATGAAGCTGTCAAATAAAAACAGTTTTTAAGGGAATCACCTCGCTGACTGAATACTAGCTAAGTACTATAGGCCTACATATTTTATCTCATCTGATGAAGAAAAACATCATAATAGCTTTCGCTCACTCTATGTCTCCAATGCCATTTTTAGGTGCACCATATATGTACTGTAACATGCTGGTATAATGTGATCACAAGGACCTTGAAGTGTGATGTTCTTCCTCCTCTCCTGCTCACTACCTGCCTCCACAATCTGTGAAGCTCATGAGCCTTCAGCGATCCAGCGTGTTAATTGCAGAAAATGCCAGTTGCAACACCTCCTCGATGTGGTGAGAGCTGCAAAGACTGAAGGACCACGGGTCGTGATGATCACGATTTTGTCTCTTCGAACCCTGAACCTGTAGACCGCAGAAGTGTAAAGCCCTTATCATGTGAGCACATTCTTATCATGTGTGACAAACAAACTCCCTAGACATAAATGCGCCGTTGTTCTCGTAAGGTGAGCTTGAACTGCTGTTCAAAGGCCTCAGAATCACTTTCTACTGCCAGACAGAAAGAATGAAAAGGAGAAAGGAGAAAAAAGGTCTGATTCCCAGCCTGAGTTTGGTGTGTGTGTGTGTGTGTGAGGGGGAGTTAGAGGGGGGAGGTCAGGAAGCACATTTGTATGCATTTCCTCTCATAACAGGAAGTGCCTGACAGCTTCCCCTTCACAATGGCTTCGCTTCTGCTTCCCGCCTCCAGTGCATTTTTTCCCCCCTGGGGAGTTCCTCTAGAGGACAGAGACAGGGAGGATGAATGTCCATTTGTCAGCATCTGCCCCTGAACCATGATCCATGCGACCCACGCACCCCAAAATCTCCCCGCTCACGCTTCATGGTATACTGTATGAATCATAATGGTAAAGTCTCACAGTAGGGGTTATACAATAGACATCAAGCTTGTGAGCGTGACCCAGCAAAAATCTGCTCTGTTCCCTTTCTAAACATATTTTAAAGGTTGCTTTTGCGTTAACAAACTCACAGTTTGTGCTAAGCTACACTGACGGCAACACAATTTATTTAAAAGTCGTGTTTAAAAGACACTTCAGCAGCACACGACTCTCAAAGCCTCAATGAGACTCAATTGCTTGTAACAAAGAGAACATTTTGAAGGTCATCAGCAGAAACATAATAAGAAACAAAACCTGCGTGAAATAATGAAAATGAGAAAAGCTCTGAATAATGAGAAGAAAAGTGGAATAACAATTAGCGTAAGAGGAACAAAAGAATTTTAAGAAGATACATTCTAAGAGGAGAGATTTGGAGAAGTTGCACTTCGCGGAAGCAAAGGAATTTTCCCGATGATGTTGGTGAAGAAGCAGAGAGAAGAGAGAGGGAGAGACAGATGAAAAAGTGAAAAAACAGGCACAGCATGTTTTGTGAGGAGACAGGCGCAGAGGTAACGATCACAAGAGAAAGGTGGGAATAGTGGAGGGGAGAGCAAGGGGTGATGGGATACCCAGAGGGCCTCATTATTTTCTTGCTGTTAATTTTACTCAAACTGTTTTACACCTTTCTGTTGTTGATTGGAGAGACGCCTCTGTTGTCATGGGTGGCTGAATCAAGCACCGTCTCCATGCCATCACACCATCATGAGGCAGAGATGAAAAGAAAGGTAACAGAAGCCTACTGAACGTGTGGTGCCTGCATTTGCCAAGTCAGTTAGAGGGGTGAAAACCACAAGCATGTTGAGCGCCAATTAAAGTATGCACTTCTGAATGAACTTCCACCATACGGAGACATCCAGAAACCTGATTTTTAACACATAAGTAACTACTGGCCCTATTTATTGTGGCTTTCTGCTGACGAAAATCCCAAAATGAAATCCTTCAGAATTCATTCTAATATTCAGATTTTATGGCTCAAGAAATATCCATTTTATAAATCATTTTTGTGGAGACTTTGATACTTTTTTTTAGGATTCTTTGATGGATTTATTTCAAATAGAAAAGTTGTTTAAAACGATATATCCACTTAATATTTGTATTATATATATATTTTTTTTCAATGCTGCACAATAAGAAGACAGCATCAAACACTCCATACCGTTTCCTGAACTCAACGAGTCTACGAGACAATCTTCTGTACGTGTTTGATTTTATTTTCCAAGACAATTCAGCATCAGCCATGTTTATCCTTCAAATAGAAGTAAGCAAATCTCTCATCGGGCTTTTTCGCCGTATCAACATCAGACACTATGTCCCGGCCTCTCCTGCCATCAAGGCAGAAGAATCAGCATTGACTAAAATTGAATTTGAAATCATTATTAGATAGATTAATCTCTCTCAAACATGCCTGTAAATGTACGCTGTGTATTCAGCAGTGTGAAAATGAGTCAGTAAGCATGCTCTTGTTAGCGATGTGGCTAACACTTTTATGACACAGGGGGTCCTTTCATGTGACGAGCCCAGGAAAGTGTTTGAGTGGCTGAGGGGAATAAAGCCAGGCTCCTCACACTGATGCCCTCTGTCTAAGCTTCTGGGCAGCTAGTCAACGCCAGGGAGGCCTGCTGGAGGAGCCTTGCTCTTCGCAAGTGTTTTCAGGAGGTGGGCTATAGGCAGCCAAAGTGGCCGCCCAGGGCGGCTGAGGCCTTGTGCCCATAAGCATGGCGCCAGAGACAGGGTGGGCCATAGGGAAGCTGCCAATCTGGGAGAGGTGATATCAGCAAGGAAATGATGGGAGACGACATCTGAGCCAAAAATGTTTGAGCATTCAGACATTAAATGTTTGAAAAAGATGATTTTTATGGTCGTGTGGGTTTAGGTTTATAGTGTATTCAAGCTCTTAGCTATTAATTAATGGAATAAAAAGTATATGCAAGGATATTAACTACGGAGGAATTACATAGGGTTAGGGATAAATTAAAAAAAGAACAATTTCAAACAAACTACTGTTCAAAAGTTTGGGTTCAATGAGATTTTTTTCATGATTTATGAATAATTAATATTCTATTACAGTTTCAAAAAAACAAACAAACAGCTATATATATATATATATATATATATATACTGTATATATATACACATCATTTTCTAGTTCTTTTGTCTTTTTAGGAGCTTGGCACAAATGAATTGTCATTATATGCAAATGAGCTGCATAATGACTGCGTGTTCAGTTTAAAAAAAAAAGGAAAAGTGTGTAAATAATGACAAAAAATATTATGTGTATTATAAATATTCTATATATTATAAAATATAATATTCTTGGTCAATTATTCCATTAAGTGCATATAAGCAGCACAACTGTTTTCACAAAATGACCATTAAAATGATTTCTGAAGTGAATCACACGACACTGAAGACTGGAGTAATGACTTGAAAATCAAGCTTTGTCACCACAGGAATATAGATATAGATATAGATATAGATATAGATATAGATATAGATATGAAACTCTGCTACACAATTTAGATGCATTTGCATGAAAAAGAGCAAACATCTCAAGAATGCAGTGCTTAAGGTAACACCATTGAAGCAGTCTGTTGTTTACTTGGCTTCGGTATGGAAAGATTTCCTTAAAGAGGAAGTGAAAATATGCACAGCCACAGCCACGTCTTCAACACATTAAGAGCTAGAGGGAGAGAAAAAAGCAAAATAGAAACGAAAAAACCCTTTGTAAGTCAAAGGTCCCCCATTCTTGTCTTGTGATGTCTATCTTCACGGTTCTCTTGTAATACAATGAAGCGGGTTGTTTGCCACAGCCCCAGATGAATGGCAGTAAGAGGACAAGAGTCAATGATAACCCCTGTGCCAGCTGTCGAACATGTCGTACAGTCTATAAATACATAACAATTTATGATACATGTTTTCAACAAAGCATCTTCTGACCAAAACCTCTCTGGACAATTTATGAGCTTATTTGTATCACTTTACAAGGCCACAGTATGTTTTGGCATTGCTTTTCATTAAAGTTGTTGACATATGGCTAATGATGTGATACTAGACATTAAGCGTACAAAAGTTTGACAAACTTTGGCAAAAGGATAAATGTCGTGTTCTAGCCTAGGACTTGTGTTTAATAAGTAATGCATTACAAATTGTACAAATTTAAAATGCTATCTACTCCATTATCCTTTAACACTGCAATCGTGCAGCTTAGAAGTTTATTTTTTGTAGTGTGGCGAGAGGTCAATCCCACACAGTGTGACGCATCTGAACATTCACAGAATGTACTTAATTAGTATAAAATGCTTAATTTCAACCATATTTTAAGAAACTGGCCAAAAGGAAATAAATGTCACTGTTTTCTTCCCTTTGTCCCCCCTTTATTCTTTTCTATCCCAAGACCTGGAAATCTGTGGCATTGACTCTCATCAGGTGTCCTTCCTGTATCAATCTCTGATCTTGAAGTCTGGTTAAGGGGGAGTGAGAGAAACAGAGAGAGAGAAGGAGAAGAGAACAGCGATAACACCAAGACAGGATGCTCTCTGTGCAATCGGATAGCCTCGCCAAAAACATCCTGACCTCAGCCCCCCCCCCCTCATACTTCTCTCCGTTTCTTTCCTCCTTTCCTTTTCATCTGTGTTTATGATTAGAAACTCTGTGTTAAGAGCATTGAAAGGTTATGTGAAACCAAAACATTTACCTGAAAAGGAAAATTCTGTCACTATGGACTATATTTTCTGTCAATGAAAAATGGAGAAATTTGAAAATTAATGGAGTTATTTTCCATTTAATATTGGTTGATAGTGACTGCATGTGTCAAGCTCTAATACTATAAATAAATAAATAAATAAATAAACTACAAAAAAAAATAAAAAATAAATAAAATGAATGCAATTTAAATACTATAATCTTCTCATCAGAAATTTTAGTGACCAATGGCACAATACTTGTACTTTTTTGGAGCTTGATAGATATGTATAGTCATTGTATGGAAATGGACTCGAGAAAAATGTGGGTTAAGTTGTACTAAAATTAGTCGAATTGAATAAATAATGACAAACTTATTTTCTGGGTGAACTACTTCTTTAAGCACACATACATTTACCAATGCAACTTTTTTTTCATAAACCAACCTTTGAAATTCAAACTATATGTATGTTACATTCAGAAGCCAATTCAATATGATGCCTTGTTAAAATCAAAACTTGTTGGTTTTTCGAAATAAACAGAAACAGAGAACAGAGAAGTTTCTGGTTTGAGAAGTACCTTGACTCATTCTTTCAGCGTTTAGCATGAAAGCCCACATGCATGTGAGCCTCTGGTTTCCTCAAGGGGGAGAACTTACTCAACCCACAAGTACTGAATGACTAATGTCACTGTGCCCCCTCCGTCTGCTCCGGCTGACACGCCCATTACTTTCCTCACCCGATTTTTTTCTCACTTTCTCCTCCACTTCTCCTCAGGCCCTCACACTATCTTCAATAATTGATCAACCCACCCAAGGTCCAGACAGCAGCCATTAACTGCAGCAGTATGGTCTCACTCAGTCATATCAACTGTTAGCCAAGTCCTTTTCCCAAAATCACTTTTTTTTTTTTCTCCAGACAAGACTGAGGAACTACAAATGTCTGTTTCTGTGACAAAGTGTCATCATGTGAAGGGATGTGAGGACTCTGGTTGACTGTTCAGAAAGTTCATAGAGAGTCAAGTTACAACAGAAAAGACAAATAGATCAACCTGAAACTAGTCAAGGTTACTTTCTGTCAAACTGCTTTCTAGGCTTCCCTGACTTTATATGTATATATATAAGGGGGACAAATGTAAATGTCAAGCCTAAAGAACATTCATTGATCTTGCAGTAAAACAAGCATCTATGTAACTGGCACCGATACGATCAATACAACTACAGTATCTGCTATGCTGCATATCTGCCTGTTTTTGTGTGTTCCTGACTTGATTCTGTTTCACGCCCAGAGAAATGGAGATACAAAACAGAATGTTTTTCTAATTGGTCAAATTTGAATGCATTAACAGAATTAGTTTGAAGAACACTAACACACACAAAAAGCCAAATTAATTATTTTTAGATTTTAGTGTCATCCACATAGAAGAAAACAGCTTAAATTAGTCAAAGCTGGTTTTGTTTGGTTTTGAAAACCATCTTACTACCAATCAGCTAAACTAGCTGAAAAGATCTATCAGTTCGCCATAAAACAGCTTTTTTTTTTTTTTTCCACCAGGGATTACAATTACAATTTATATTATTATGAACGCAGCTAAAGCTACAGATGATGAACGGGATCTCAGTGATCTGAGAGCCGAGTTGAAGAGGAAAACTACTAAGGCAGGAAGGGCCCCTGGAGGGCCATCTTCTACCTCTGTGTTGACTCCACCTAAAGCCCTGAAGCATGTGGCATCATTCCACCATTGCCATCTCTGCGTGTTTGTGTTCTCCACCCACCCTGCCCCTGCTAAAGTAATATTCCACTGCCGTAAGCAAGAGGTGGCAGCGTGCGAGGACGCCGACAATTAGCATGCGCACACCACCTACTTAGTCTATTTTAGTTCGAAATAACCCATCAAACTTCTGTGAAGGAAGCTGTCTAGAGTTAGTTTTTGGCTCCTTCTGGTCAGCGTGACTCACCTGTCTGTTACGTTCATCCATAATCCGTGTGATCTGAATCTTTTTCCTCCCCATTGTCCCCGTCTTTTCGTCTCTCTCTATCACCAATGAACTTTATTCTTTTGTCCCTCTGTTTTTGCTTGCGATTTCTTTAAACCAGGCTTTCTTCTCTTGACTTCCTCCGCTCACTTCAAAGATTCCAGTAGCTGTACCTGTGAATGGCAGAGAGAGAGAGGCATTAAGTCAGATGAAAAATGGCAAAACCACAACGTTAAAAAACAGCGAATGGCAGAGTCTGAGCCACATGGGACAGCAAATAAAGACAAAAGAATCCGTAGACGTTTCGAGGCAGCGCTGTTTTCTGCCATCAATATCATGCAAATCAGATTCTCGCGCTTCGGCTGCGACTATGAGGGTAGACAGCACTGTTATGCTCTCTCTACAGTCACAGAGAATTTGACAGTGTTTTGAAAGTGCCACTAACTTAACAGCTCTAATCATTTGCAGTGTAACGTTTACTGTCACCCGAACGACAAACAGCGACACTTTCCTAAACAACGCCGATGTAACATCGCATCGAATTGTCACTAGAATGCTGAACGAACACACTTGTGTTTCCCTTTTAGCTGAAATTTTGTGTGAACGCAACCAAACTGCCCTGAAAGATGAGACTTCACTATCCACGTATCATTAGATCTGAAGAATAACCCGAATGGAAACCTGGGACATCCTGATTAAGCCCTCGTCAAACCCGCTCCGGAATATGATCCCGCTGTCAAGTCACGGCCTCGCTCCGCTCTCCGTCTCTCAGGGAAAAAGGTGTGCGGGGCCTTTATTAGGCCCTCCTGCTGAGCCTTTTGAAAGGCTGCCCTCACCCGAGAAGTCAACCCAGGCTTTCTATAAAGTGCTCACAGCTCAGATCCACGCAGCGCGAGAGCTCGCGATCACAGAACACACATGTGCGCGCACCAGTGTTTGTGTGCATGTGCGCACCTCTTTGGTGCCGTAAAGTAGGCCAACCCGATTCATCTCTGGGAGGAGCGGCAGAAGTGTTGTTGTGTTTTATTCTGACAGTAGAGGTGATAACGTCCCTCGTTATGCAAATGAGCGTCCCATTATTTAAGCTTTCTGTAATGCAGTAAAGCTGTCAGTGGTGTCACGTTAAAAGCCCTCCATTGCTTTCTCTTTATTCTCTGGCTCTTTTTCTTCTTTCTGAACCAGATTTCACCTGCCAGAGCAAGCAAGGAACATTGATGTAGATACACCTAAAGGATACGCTGCGCTTCTCACGTCTCTCTCCGCGTTGCCATGCTTCTCTCATTTATTAATAATCAAGTGTTTATGTAGGGGTTTGGAAGTGTTCGAGAGACTTTTCCATGGCATGTAAGTTAAACCGCAAGCAAACTCTAATTTCATTGGCTGAGATCCATTTTTATTTCAGAGGATGCTGCTAATCTATGAAATTCCACACATAATTGTTGGATTCCTTCGGTGTTGTCGAAATAGAGTTGTTAAATACACAGTTTCTTCTCTACAAATACAACCTTATGCTGATGTTGATATAATGTATTTTCCATTGTCTCTAATAATAACTGTGAATAAGATTACACTCCATTAGCATACAAACAAGAGCGCTCTGTACTTCACCAAGAGTTGTTAGCTGGACTGTTAGCGAGCACGTCTTAATGTGTATGTGGCGAAATCCGAAGCGGCTTGATGATTGTTTAGAGGACCACTGTAAAAGACATAATACAAGGAGCAAAACAACTCAACTACAAGCTGGTGATAATGACTGGACGCCTGTGTAAATATTTACCCACTTTGCAGCCAGCAGAACCTGGCGTTTTCGCTGCTCGCAATTGAAAGCTGATTAAGTAGTTAACTCAATCAAAACAGGGTCTTCGGCTGCGAATCTAAGAGAAGCTTCCTCATTGATAACGACAGGTCCGTAATATCTGAAACAATCACGCCACAGTCTCAACATGGACCTGCTGTGCATTAAGTCGTTTTAAACATTCTTTAATAGGCTTCATCTGGACACTGATTCCTCTTCACAGTGGCACCAACAATTATTAAAGTGTGAACTTTATAGCATAAAAGTTGACAAAATATCAAACCTTGATAGAACTTCACTTTTTAAAACCATTCATTCACACTTTTTAAAACCATTCATTTCATTTCTATCTTTTATGATATATATATATATATATATATATATATATATATATATATGTATTTATTTATTTTTTTATTTTTTTTGCAATAACCTCACATACTGTACAGCTTTGGACACGTTCAACTATTTCAACAATTCATTTAACAATTCAGTATTGTTACTATTTGTAAAGCATTAAAACATTTTATTTGTTCCTATAAATTAAACAGCTCAAAAAGAGAAAATAAAAAGTAATGCAATAAAAAGTACAATAGATAAAAGAAAATCTAAATCAGATGTGTGATTTCAGCAATCCTATAAGATTACTTCTATAGAAGTAAAGGCTATAGGCTAATAGGCCAGTAACCTAGTATAGAAGAACACAGAAGAATAAAACGTAATACGCATGAAACAAATAGAGAAAGATTTATCGCACTTTAGCAATTGTGGTTTTTATGTTTGCTGGAAAAAAGAGGAGGAAGCGAAAGAGCAGAATATGGAGAGGCGGTCATGGATATGGGAAAAGAAGCCAACTTGGCAAGCTGATTTTGAAAATGGAGCTTGAGGTAAGTAGTTTTAGTGCCCATGTTTCATGACACTGTCAGAAAAATATCGCAGGCTATCTTTGGTCGCAAGACCGCGACAATGGACGTCTTTGAACCTCTCTTACTATATGACGTAGGACCATCTTTTAGGAGCCACGGCCACAGACATCACCACAATGGGTCATCTTTCATATGGGACAGCCCAAAATCATACAATGTGTTCTGGCATAGCAGCATAAAACTCTCTCTCTCCCTCTAGTATCATCCCCTCCTTCACATGTACACATCCTCACATTCATCTGCTTTCAGATTACCACAGATGAGCACAATCCAATTTACACCAGTAAAGCCGAACTACAGTGCAGACAAGTTGTGGTTGATCAGTTGCCAGCGGCGCTCTACATAAGGTTCAAGGTAAAATCAAGGTTCGACTCTCATAAAATATCTGATCAAATATGTCTGATCCACAAGTAAAGTGTGGCTGAATCCTGCCAAACGCAAAGGAACAAATACTATGTGTGTTTAAGATCAAATATGTGTGTGGGGCGGTTTTAAAGCTTATATGTGAAATTATACCAGACAGAGAAAGAGTGAGGTGGAGAGGGACTACTAACTGGCTTTCTCTGCATTGCTAAGCCAATTCACTAATCCACAGCCAAACCATATGGGAAGGGTGAGAGAGAGGGTGAGAGAGAGAGTTAGTCAAGGGCCAGAAAGATCCCTCCCCCAAAAGAAGCTAAGGACAGGTTTGGCATAGTGTGACAGGCAGAAGAAAGCCTGGAAGAGGGGTCATCACCAAAGGCTGAAGGGTCATGGAGGGATGCTACAGGACAGAGAGGGAAAGATAAGACAAGTTAACCCACAACATTTCTCAATTGATATATTGGGCTCAAAGCAAGAGCACAAAGAGCAAACATGAGCAGAGGGAGAAATCCAAAGGAAAAGCAAAAAGATGTGAGCAAGTCTCTCTTGAGGAAAGGGAGGAGAGGCTGCCGTCCACCCTCCCATCTGTTAACCATGCCTCTCTTTCTCTGCCACAGAGCACAAGGGTGGTGGGGGAACGAAGAGAAATCGTGGGGGAAAAGGAGAAAGAGGTGGGGGTGCCGGCACTGGGATGTAATGAGGTGCTGTGTGTTTTTCTCCCTTTCTCTACTTCTCTTTCTCTCTCCTTTTTAAGAAATGGAACTGTGAGGGCAATGAGTACGTTCATAAACAGGCACAATTCTGGGTCGGCTCGGTCCCTAGTGTTCCAAATATATAAAAAAAGTATATTTTGCACGCAATTGTATTGTCAAAGTCTTAATAAAGTGAATATGACTACTTCTCTGTGCTCAGCGATATAATTTTGTTAGGGGAAAAAGAAACAAAGCAATTTTTTATTTCTCTAAGGGGTCCCGTGTTGAGAATGAAAAATGATTAAGATGCAAAAACCATGAATTAAATTTGTAAAAAAAAATATAAAAAATAAAATAAAAAGTACAGAGATTGCATGTGATAATGAAACACTTGTTTTGATGAGAAATACAACTCTGGCAGGTTTCACTTTTATTGAGATCTGGCACAATCTGTGAGGTGCAGGGGGGTTACAGAGCAGCGCTGCTTGACTCCTACCACATTAAAGTCATCTGAATGTTATTATTACAATCAGACAGGAGCTGATCTTTTGAGAAATCAACCTCAGCACTATGTTGCCACCCTTTGTAAACTTGCTCGCTTCCACTTTCCCTGATTTTCATTTCTTCACAGCACATCTGCAAGACATTTGGTACTAGTGTGTGTTTGAAAAAAGGGCAGTATCCTCTATCCTCCTGGGGAAATGTGGTCGCGAAGATTTAAAATAACATATTATGGCCAAAAAGTAAACCTTTTAGGAGGTGCATGATACATTAAATAAACCCTCACTCTTTTAAAATAAACTGCCGTTTCCTTGAAGAGGTCAACAATTTTTAATATGTGTCTTATGAATAATTTAAATACAATGGCACACTTTTAAACCTTTTTGGATGTAACTTTTTACCACATCCTAATCTTAAATATGAAGAGTTCAGATGCAAAAGCCTCTAAGTGCCATTTGAAATTTTCTTCTAAAATGATCATTTTTATCAAGCTTGTATATTTAAGTTCAGTGATTTCACTTAAATGGCAATGAAGATTACCTATTAATTGTCATTTAAGTGAAATTACTGAACTTAAATATACAAGCTTGATAAAAATGGTCATTTTAGAAGAAAATTTCAAATGGCACTTAGAGGCTTTTGCATCTGAACTCTTCATATGTTCATTCTGTACTCATTGTACCAAAAATAATATTTATTTACTCCCATGTTTTTTTTTTCTCTTTTTCTTTTTTTTTTTTCTTTTACAAACATATTTGTATGTGTACATATTTAGGTGCGGCTGTTTGGTTTGCACTTAAAACGGGCCAGGGAGCCCATAGCGAGAGAGTTAACAGCCTATTGTCTGTATAAAGTCATTACAGCCAGTGCTTCTTAAGTGTGGCAGAGTCTGCCTG